TCTACCTTCTTCTTTGCACATCTGTATTCTTTTCCTGGAACATTCTTATCTATATCCTCTCTGGCTAACTCCTGCTCATCTTACAAAATGCAGCATATGTGTCAGCAAATCCAGGACATCTTCCCTGACTCCCCAAGTTGGGTCAGAGTCCTCTACTGGGTTCCATAGCCTGGTGTCTCTCTTCATCACTGTACCTGTCACATGATATTTTCATTGCCTATTTACTGATCTGTTCTCTCACCAGTGAATTCCTTGAGGCCAGGAACCATGTCTATTTCATCCAGATTTTTGTAATACGTACCACAGGGCCTACGCATTAGGTTTTCTTGAACAGTCTGGTGAATGAATGAATAATGAATGAATGAATGAATCTCGTACCAGTCTTGGACAGCATTGAAGGACTCCTCGTTGGTAATGTCATACATCAGAATAAAGCCCATGGCCCCGCGGTAATAGGCTGTGGTGATGGTCCGGTACCGCTCCTGCCCAGCTGTGTCCTGGGTGGGAAAAGGAAAGAGTCAGCCTCCTAGAAAGTCTACTTTTGTTCCTAGAAAGTCCCCAGAACAATAAACTAATAATTCAAGGTATATTTAAGGAGTATCTATTAGTATCTTGTATTATACTTGGTAACTAGAATATAATGGTTTTTAAAACCTCATAGACATTATTAAGAAAATTATTAAAATCCCAGTAGAAAAATGGGCAAAAGGAATAAACAATTCCAAGAAGAAATGTAAATGGATATTTATTATTATGTAAAAAACGTTTTAACTTTATTTTTAATTACAGTTCCCATTATAGGCAAGACTGTGCAACCTCACACCTGCTCATGGGAATGGAACTTGGTTCAGTCTTTCTGGAAATCAATTTGGAAGTGTCAAGAGCATTAAAAATATTTGTATCCTTCAGCCCAGAAATTTTCTTTCTAAAAACTTGCCCTATAAAATTAGAAAATCAGAAAAATACCTATGCATAAAAATGTTTGTTACCACTTTATTTAAATAGTGAAAAAGTATCATCAATTCGTATATTCAACAACAGGAGAGTGGTTAAAATATAAGAATTTATTGCGTTTATTTTTGTAAGAATATTTAATTACATGGGATAATGCTTATATGTGTGATATAATATCAGTTTTGTAACTATATGCAGAGAAGAAGACTAAAGAAACACATCAAAAATTAACAGTTATCTCTATATGAGAGACAAGAATTACTAGGACTTTAATTTTCTTCATGTATTTTTATTTTCTTTACAATAAGTATGTGTTACTCTTAAATAAGGAGAATAAATAAACTTTTTACCAAAAAAAAAAAATGACTAAGACAATTCCTTATCTCAAGCAGCTCACAATCTAGTTGAAAGGACAAACATGTAAGCAAATGAACAAAAACAAGACCAACAGCAAGGTGTTATTTGGAGCACACAGGGATGCTTCACAAATGTCCATACAGTCTTTATGTGAGGGACGAGCCAATCTTTCATTACAGATTTAGAGTGTATGATGTTTCAGCACATATAAAACATTTCCTCATATATTAGCTCATTTAAATTTTATGAAATCCCTACAAGGTAGGTGTTATTAGTATTTATATATTATCATTGAGAATGCAAAAAAGCAGATAGAATAACTGAATTTCCCAAGGTCTCAAAGCTGGCAACAAAAGCTATGCCTTAAATCCAGGATTTCTGATTCCAAGTCCATTGCACATACTACTATACCTCAATCAATGAAAGATTTATCTACAAGCACTTATTGAACACTATCTATAACGATAACAACAAACAATGGGAACAATAATAATTACAGCATCTCGTTATTTGTACATATGTTGTACCTCTTATACACAAACCTTAGAAAAACCCTGTAGGGTATATATTATTGCTCCAATTTACAGATGAGGAAACTGAGATTCAGAGAGATTGCCCTTAAGTGTAAGAATTGGGATTCAAAACAAGTCTGTCTGACTCCTACACTTATTATAGTATACTGTTTTGGCCATGAGCCATACTTTGTGTGATATAAAAACAGAATAGGCAGTATCCCTGACCTCAGTAAGTCTCAGTAAAAGAGTAGAAGTGGCCAAAACATGCCATAACGAACTGATAATTAGCAATATATGGTAGTATGTCATCAGTACTAGATAATTTGTATAAAGAAAATGTGTCACACAAGTCAAGTAAGGCAGAATCGTGGTGGTTTTAGGTAGTTATGGAAGATACCAAAGCAGAGATAGTGTATTAGTTAGGATAGATTGGGTTATTCAGTAACAAGCAAACACAAATCTCAGCAGCTTAAACAAGGTTTTATTTTTCACCATTGTTACATATCCAATAAGGGTTGGCTAGGTGCTCTGTTTTTTGTCTTCCTTATTCCAAAATGAAGATTGATAGAGTAGCTACCAGAGGGAAAGAAAGTGTGTAAATCATGTGTTGGCTCTTAAAACTTTCACTTTTACCATTTCACTGGCCAGAGCAAGTCACATGTCCACACCCAAGAAAGTACAATCCTATATGTCCAGGAGGGGAACTGGAAATGTGATAGACAGCAGAATGACTTCCACAGGTGAATCTGTACCAAGACCAGAAGTAGCACCTGAGGATGTTCTTATTTGGCAATAGAAGAACAGGGACTTTTCTAAAGAAGAATTTCCAAGCAGTGAAGTGAAGAAAGGGTATTTTGGCAGAAGAAAAAGTTGTTATCAGTGAATACTCCAGAAGAATGTAAGAAATGATGGGAAATGGGAAATGGATAGGTGATGAAGCTAGAAAGAGCTTTGAATGCTCTGCTATGGGCTATGGACTTTATCTTTTAGGATCAAAGATTTTGAGGCAGGGGAATAACATGATTAGATCTGAACTGTAGACAAACAATTCTGACTGTGATGTGGAGAATGGACTAGAAAATGAAAAGATTGGAAGCAGAAAGGCTAGTTAGGAGATCTTTGTAGTGGTTTAGGTGAGACCTGATCAGGATTTGAACTAGAGTAGTAGCAATAGGGATGGAGTAGAACCAGATTCAAGAGGTATTTAAGAGGTGAATTATAGGGCGTGGTGACAGATTAGATGTGAAGAGAAGAAATCAAAGATAACAGTTATGTTTATGGCAGGGCTCAGCTTCCCCATATCCTCATCAATTCAGCTCTGCCCAGACTTGCACAGTGTTACTCAGCCAAACAAAATCTGCATTTAACACATCCACTATCCTTGGAGAGCATATGAATCACTATCTCCTTTTCGTTGAGCATGGTCTTTGGGTATCTTACTCTTTACCTCAAGGAGCTTATCAGAGTATTTCTTCTGACCATATACAGTACTTCTCCCTAAGAGTTCTAGCAAATATAATTTTCTCTAGCTGGTGAGTGAGTGAATGGATGAATGAATTAAAGAATAAATGAAGAGATGGATGAGTGAGTGAGTGAGCAAGTGAGTGAGCGAGTGAGTGAGCAGACATTTAACACAATCTTAGGCCCTACTGAGAGAAATATTCACTGTCTGCCATATCTACAAAAAAGCTCTGTGTGTGTGTGCCTACGAAATAGTGCAGCAGTATTTGATCCACCCCTCCCATACTCTGGTTTCTGCTTCCTGAGCTCCTCAGAGCCAACACTATAGATGAGACTCGCTGCTCCCTGCCCCTCCCGCCACCCCCCCACCCCCCGATCAGCAGGCTGGAGACTTAAATCTTGTCCTCTAGAGTTTAGAATTAAGCTGCTCTTCCAGACTGGTGATCTAGAGGCCCAGGCAGGATTTCTGAGCAACTGCACTGCCACCAGGTCTCAACTCTCCTCACTTTGCCTGCGTTATACCATTTCTCTGGAGAGTTTTTAGTCTCCCATCTCTGCCTGAAGCCTAGCCTTGTGTCCCAGCTCTTTGACAGAAGAGTCCTGTTAACCAGTTGTTGTCTAATTAATTGGAACTCCTGGTATAGAATAATAAATGAGCTTGGACATGGAACCAGTTTCATCTCTGTACTTTCAGTGCCTAGCACAGGGCTGGGCACACAGTAGGGATTCAATCACCACTTGCTAAACAAAAGGCTATATAGTTTTGAGGTTAAAAGCATGGTCTCTGGAGTTAGACTTCTGAGTGTGAATCCCTGTTCTACCACTTACTATGTGACTAAGGGAGGCAGTCGCTAAAGTGGCTCCCAGTGATCACCATCTCCAGGTATTCATACTCTTGTGTAATCACCTCATTGGGCAATTACCTTTTGGGGCCTTCATTTCTTTGTCTATAAAATAGGAATAACAACAATGTCTTACTTCATAAAGTTATTGTGAAGATTAAGAAAGTTGTTACATCTAAAATGCCTTGAACAATTCCTAGTATGGAGTAAGTGCCTGATAGGCATCAGTTACTATTCTTGCATTTCCAGAGTAACCCCCAGGAGCAGGTTCCCAGGGTCTGCCTGGCTGGAGTGGATGAGTCTCATGCCACAAGTCACTTCCATTCAAACCTGCCCAGGGCTGCCTCCAGCCAAAGTGTCAGTGTAAAGCTTCCATCAAAGAGTAGCAAATTGCCAAACAGAAAGGGAATGCATGAGTGTAAGAGTTGAGCAGGCCTTGGCTTACCTCCCATTCTGCATTCACCACCTATGTGATTTTGGACAGCTTGGTTTTTTCATCTCTCAGGCTCTGTTTCCTCACATTTGGAATAGAAACAATAATGCCTACTTTGTAGGGTGTTTGTAATGAAAGAAGGTATTGTTTTGTTTTAGTTATTTTTACTTATTTTTTAAAATAATTTTTTTTTATTTTTCAATTGCAGTTGACATACAATGTTATATTAGTTTCAGGTATATAACATGGTTTTTAGACATTTATATAACTTACAAAGTGATCACCCTGATAAACGTAGTACCCATCTGACACCATACATAGTTATTACAATATTATTGACTATGTTCCTTATGCTGTACTTTACATCTCCATGATTATTTTGTAACTACCAATTTGTACTTCTTAATCCCTTCTCATTTTTCACCAACCTCCCGAACCCCCTCTCATCTGGCCACCATCAAAATGTTCTCTATATCTCTGAGTTTGTTCTGTTCTGTTTGTTTATTTTGTTCTTTAGATTCCACGTGTAAGTGAAATCATATGGCATTTGTCTTTCTCTGTCTCAGTTACTCCACTCAGCACAATACCCTCTAGGTCCATCCATGTTGTTGCAAATGGCAAGATTTCATTCTTTTTATGGCTGAGTAATATTCCATTTTATAACTGTACCACCTCTTTATCCATTCATCCATTAATAGATACCAAGGTTGTCTCCATATCTTGATTATTGTAAATAATGCTGCAATGAACAGATGGATGCATATATCCCTTTGAAGGAGTATCTTAGATTTCTTCAGATAAATACCCAAAAGTGGGATTACTGGGTCTTTCTTTATCTCTTGTTATAGCCTTTGAAACAGGTGTTTTTTTAAATGTCTAGCTCATAATAGGTACTCAAACATGAGAATTTATCATTTTCATAATTATTTAATTTT